GCCTCCAATACAGGGAAAAAAAGCAAACGCAAAGAATAGTGATGTATGTATGTGTTGATTAGTACGCAAATTCAAAGTCAAAGAAAGAGAAAACGTGGGAATCTGGACCTCACGGGGTTTAAACCCAAAAGGGTTTGACGGAGAAAGATCAAACCCGATTGGGTGTTTTCAGTGATTTTGAATGTTTTTGAGAGGCTCATATGGAATGTGGGTGTCTTTATACCTCTTTCACAGAAAGACCCACAAAAGCTCTTATCGAATAAAGTGTGACAGGGAGTCTAATCTGTGAAATTGAGCCTTTGGCAAATAATTTTTTTAGTTAAAAAAAATTAAAAAATTAAAAAATTAAAAATTTATATTAAAAAATTAAAGATTCTTTTTTTATTTATTTTTTTATATATCTTCTCGTAAAAAATTAAAAATTCATCTTAAATATACTAATTTTTTTATATTATATTTTAATTAAAATTTTAAAAAATTACTAAAAAAACATGTTCACATGTTCCCGCACGAGGCGTGAGAAAGAAAAACAAGAATACATGATGCTACGCTTTGTGTTGCATATAGTAGGTGCTATGAAAAAAGAAAAAAAATAAAAATGGTTACGATTTTTTATTATTATATTTAGATGAATAGAAAAAAAATGTGATTTATTACTTATTTTATTTGGATAGTGTAAGTAATAGAAATGAAAATAAAATAATTATTTCATTTTATAAAAATAACATTTCATATTAATAAGTTTTGTTTTTTTTATAGTTTTAGTATATTTTTAAATAAGTCTCATTAAACTCAATTTTTTCTCATAAAATCCTATCATTTTTGGTGAGAAATAAAACACAGGTTTTGTGAGAGTATTTCTCACCCTCTTTCATTACTGCTCGTCTTATTCAACTATCCGAGTAAGTAAAAGATTTTTAATTCTCATCATTTCTACTCTTTTGTTTTTTTCCCCTCACCCAACTCCTCCATCCAATGGAGTGTAAGCTTCAGTTATGGGGATGAATTGATTGGACTAAAGTTAAAAATAAGAATCAAGTGGTACTTTGCATTTTAGAAACCATGTACATGCGATAAAAATAAAATAAATAACATAAGTAAATTAAATTTTAAAAAATATAATAAGTCATACAAATTCGACATAATTAAGTTCTTCTAATGTTTTAATTTGGCCATCTTTTCATCATAAATTTGTTTATTAATAAAAACATGATGTTATCATTTCTTTTTATATTGAAATGTATATTATACCTTATGTATCTTTGTATTTTTATACAATTTGTATTAATTTTGGTCTTTTTAAATTTATTAAATGAATAATAAATATAATTATGCCAAAATTTAAGACTTACTATATTTTTTTCAAATATCAAGTGAAGTTAGCATAATTGACCCACAAAAAGAAGCGAGAGCGGGGAAAAAAAACAAAAATATTTGAGGGCTCGAAATCTTGTTGGCTCGAAACCCAAAACGACGTCGTTTTGGGTTTCATTTTTTTTTCCCCTCCTTTTCTTGACCCACGCCTCTCGCCTCATCCCTTTCATCCACTCTCGTCTCTCTCTCCTCTCTATCTTTTCAGTCTCGTCTCTTGCTTTCTCTTCAGTCTCGGCTCTCTCACCTATCTGTTGAAGCAGTACGAAGGACGACTGAGGTAAACCTGAAATCGAGCCATGTTAGGATTTATGTTTGGCATCAATTTTGTTTATAGAAATTAGTCGGTTGGGAGTGTTTGGGTTTGGATTTTACTTGAAATTTGTGTTAGGGTTTGGGATTTGGCTTTAATTTCTGATGTGTTAGGGTTTGAGATTTGCATTTGAATCTGTTATCATCTGTATACATTTGATTGGTTTTGCTTGAAATAAACATCTGTGATGACTTATGTTCAAAATATATTGATTGGTTATCCTCTTGTTTGTTTATGAATCTTTTTGTGCTCAAAGTAAAAGTTGAGAGAAAGAGAGGAGTAATGGATTCACGGACTGGGAAAATGAAGGGAATAAGAAAAGGAAAGGGGGAAGACTTTGTGGAGGAGGCAGAGTGTTGTCCTTCTGGGGGAACAAGATAAAGAATCTTTTTTTTTTCTTCTTTCTTCCTTTTCTTCCTCCTCTGTTCGTCTCTGTTTCTTTTCTTCTTTCTTCATCTTCTTCCTCCTCTGTTCTTCTCTCAATTATGAGGAAAAAAAAAAAAAAGAGGGTGCCAAAACGACGTCGTTTTGGCACCTCGAGCCATTCGAGCCAGAGGGCATTTGGGCTACCTAGCAGAACTAGAAAAAAAAACATGTACATGTTGGTATGAAATTGGGAGCGTCTCAATTCTCAACTGTCCAAATATTTCTAAGCTTGTAATTGCTTTGGCTCTGCTCATGGGCCTGAATCCAGATTCCATATTATTGGGCTAAACTTCTCATTTGGGCCTGGCCCAATGACCCAACCCTATAATAGTTTTTTTATTTTTTTGAATGTTTAGTGGGTGAGTGTGTGTGGAATAGTTTGTGTTTCACAAATCCATCATGTATAGACATTGCCTTTTCCCTCATGCCACTCAACTTTTTGAAGTACTATTTGGAAGTTGCTTTCAATCTCTGTTATTTATTCTCTGTGTGCTGCCTAGCTACCCCTTTTTTGTGGTTGAAGTTTCTTAATCCAAGTTGCTTTCAGTGTCCTATTTTAACAGTTTTATGTAATATTAATTCTAGATAGGGAAAAAAATAATCTAGAGTCCTCAAATGTTGAGGATGGTTTTGCTTAACAGCAAAATTTGTAATTAGACAAGACAGTTATTTCGATGAATTTAATATAGTGGTTGAGTGTTGAATTGACTAGTTCTACTTTATACTTTTTATTTTAAAAGTAATAGCTTATTTTAAAAAGTTAATTTTTTAGTTTTTTTTTTTAATTTTTTTTTTGTTTGAAAACATGTATAAAAAAATTAAGAAATGATTTGACTAAAAAAAATCCAACCAAAAAATTGACTTTTAATCCAAATGACAAAATATGTTAGCGACTTAGAAAAATATTATGTAGTTGAAATTCATGCTTATATATCAATGTTAGCGACTTTAAGATAATTTTCATGATATTTGTAAATTATCATGACCAAAAACAAAACAAAACAAAAAAATATTTTTTTATCAAAAAAATAAAAACTAATTTAACTCAAATAAACATTAAACAAATATTTTTCAATTTTAAAAAATTATTTATGCCCTCTAAAAAGAAAAAACTCAAAGAAGAGTTTGTTTTAATGGTGATTAGAAATGAGAGCCCGACAAAAACAAAAAGGGAATGACTTCTTTATCTCAGGTATGGACAAGAGATTCCAGTAGAAACACCCAGATTGTGCACGCTGGCACATTTTACAAAATAGAAGTTACAATTTTATTTTGGATAATATTATATGCATTAATTAATATATTAATTGACAATATAGTATAATTTAAGATATTTTTAATATTTATAATTTGTATAATGAGTAAGATCAATAATAATATCATAACTAATATTAGTATATTAATTGGTAACGCCACCGATTTCATTTTCCCATTGACCTATTTAACATTGGGTCAGTTTTTTTTTTTTTAAAAAAAAAAAAATTCAGATTGAATTTATAAGTAACGTATAAAATGTTGATCTGACATAACTCAACTGAACGCTTCCATTCATATCCGAACTGGAGAGAAACAGAGCTCAAACAAAAAGGATGCAATGATTTTTTTTTTAAAATTAAAAAATTAAGCATTAACCCACAATAAATAATGGAGAGGGCAGTCATTGTCAATACACCTCTTTTTGTGGGTAGTCCCCCACTTGAAGGCACTCATAATTTATGAGTGAGAGAGAGAGGAATTGGAACATCTTCGTCACAACAAACACCTCATAACACCAAAGCAAAATTAGAGGCTCTGTGGTCCCTTTTCCTTCCACTACACTTCCATTCATATTACTCCATAGCCAATTAACTACACACACTTTTTGTCTTCAAATCTTTTTTTTTTAATTTTTAATTCATATTAATTATAATATTTCTTAAACTATCATATTTCAAAATTTTTAATAATTCAATATTTATATAAAAAAAAAATAGTGAAACTTTTTTAATCAGCAAAATGAGAAATTTTATTGATGCTTTAAATATATAAATAAAACGTATCAAGATAAGAGTATTTCTACTCAAACTTTCAAAATTTGGCTTGTTAAATTTTTTTTGAAGACTTGAGTGACAAATTGACATATGTCAATTTCATATAAAACCTTCCATCCAATATGTCAAATCTATTATTATATTATTTTTAAAAATAAAATTATTTTATTGAGTGGATTCAACATTTGACATTAATATGATGTACGGCAAATTTAACTTGTTGAGTTAAAGCCAAATGCCAACTCAACATTGAGGTATTGGATGAATTTCATTCTTCATATCATAATTGAGATACTGTTGTGCTACATAGTATTTGATATTTTAGTTGAACAGCAGTGGTTGAGGGTCACAATTTTTGTGGCTCAAATGGCTCGAAATTAAAACGACGTCGTTTTGAGTATAAAACAAATTCAAAATTGTTAAAACGACGTCGTTTTGACAATTTTAAACCACTTGAGCCACAAAAATTGTAGCCCTCAAACATTTTTCTTTAATTGAATGTTTTCTTTAATTGAAATAAGTTAAAGAGAAATTTGAGGATCAAAAGTTATGGTCTTTCATGCAATTGCATCAAAAGTTGAAAAAGTATATTTTATCAATTTGAGAATAAGTTTATATTTAACATTGGGTCAGTTTTTTTTTTTTTTAAAAAAAAAATTCAGATTGAATTTATAAGTAACGTATAAAATGTTGATCTGACATAACTCAACTGAACGCTTCCATTCATATCCGAACTGGAGAGAAACAGAGCTCAAACAAAAAGGATGCAATGATTTTTTTTTTAAAATTAAAAAATTAAGCATTAACCCACAATAAATAATGGAGAGGGCAGTCATTGTCAATACACCTCTTTTTGTGGGTAGTCCCCCACTTGAAGGCACTCATAATTTATGAGTGAGAGAGAGAGGAATTGGAACATCTTCGTCACAACAAACACCTCATAACACCAAAGCAAAATTAGAGGCTCTGTGGTCCCTTTTCCTTCCACTACACTTCCATTCATATTACTCCATAGCCAATTAACTACACACACTTTTTGTCTTCAAATCTTTTTTTTTTAATTTTTAATTC